TCTCAAATGTTCCTCATGCTCTTCTCTCGACTTAGAGTAAACCAGGATATCATCTATGAAAACCACTATGAATTGATCCAAACAATCATGGAATACCCGGTTCATCAAGTCCATAAAAACAAATGGGGCATTAGTCAAACCAAACGGCATCACTACAAACTCATAGTGCCCATACCTTGTACGGAAAGTAGTCTTAGCTACATCCTGCTCAGCCACTCTTACCTGATGGTACCCTGACCTCAAATCAATTTTGGAGAACACTGCTGCTCCCTTCAACTGATCAAACAAATCATCTATTCGGGGTAGTGGGTACTTATTCTTCACTGTCACCTTATTCAGCTCTCTGTAATCAATACACATCCGCAGTGATCCATCTTTCTTCTTTACAAACAAAATTGGGGCTCCCCAGGGAGAATGACTCGGTCGGATAAAACCTTTATCTAAAAGCTCTTGGAGTTGCTTCTTTAATTCTTGAAGCTCTGTTGGGGCCATTCGGTAAGGGCCTTTAAATATAGGTGTTGTTCCTGGTGCAAGTTCAATACTAAACTCAACCTCTCTTTCTGGCGGTAAACCCGGTAAGTCTTCCAGAAACACATCTGAAAATTCCTAAACTATCGGCACTCTTTGAATTTCTGATTGTGAAACATCACCACTCTGTACTACATGAGCAACGTATCCAGAACATCCCTTTCTCCACATCTTTCTAGATTTTACACTACTAATCAACACACTCAACCGATGGCCTTCTCCAAAACTAAACTTATCTCCATTATCAAGATTAAATCTCGCTTTCTTTTTCCGACAATCAATTTCTACTCAATTCCTCCCTAGGAAATCCATGCCCAAAATTACATCAAAGTCGGGCATATCAAAGACTATTAAGTCAACTGCCAACTCTCGACCATGGATCACCACAGACTCTCCTAACAACATCTCTTGAGTCAACACACTAACCCCATCGAGCAACTCTATCTTAATGGGTTGACTCACTATAACAGGTTTCAAATTTAATCTCTCTATCATTTCATGAGATATAAAAGAATGAGTAGCTCCATAATCAATCAAAGCATATAAAGAAACAGCATGAAATAACAATTGACCAATTACGGCTGATGGACTGGCCTCGGCCTCGGCCTCACCCCGTGCCATTGTAAATACCCTGGCATTTGTACCTCTAGGGTTCTGAGCCGTTGGTGGGAGGGGAGCTTTACAATCCCTCCACATATGCCCTGGCTGTCGGCACCTGTAACACATGTTTTGATCCCTCAAACACTCTCTTGAATGGTTCCTCCCACATTTAGCACAAGGGGGAAACCCTTCTGCCCTGGGTCGTTGTTCTGCCTATCTCTTCTATTCTTCCTTGGTTGGAACTTCTTCTTGGCCCTTACTTCTCTGTTCTTTGTGACATCTACTCTCTCCCTCTGTAAGGTGGTGAATGGTTCACTAGGTGTTGTTAGAGCCAACCCTTCTGCAATATATTTGTTTACATAGATCTCTGCCTTTAAAGCCCGTGCTAGAGCTTCACTGTAGGTATGAGGGGGCTCGTCTCCTGTCATTACATCTCGGGCAATAACTGATCTCAACCCTCGCACAAACTTATCTCTCCTTAAATCTGGTGTGTACACTATTCCGGGTGCAAAATGAGCAAGGGAGTTGAATCTTACTAAATATTCTTTCACAGTACTAATCCCCTGCTTCAGGTGAATAAACTCTTGGACTTTCTCATGTACTTGATCTTCTGTTCGGTACTTAGCCTCAAACAACCTTCTGAATTCCTCCCAGGTCATCAAGGCTACATCATGAGTCTCCCTTAAACAAGAAACTATCATATCTGATCCTCTCTCTATCATTCAGGGGAAACAGTGGCGCCGTTCGCTCTACGGACTTAAACCACTCCTTTGCCTCTAGCGGGTCCCTCGTACCCCTAAATGCTGGCGACTGGTGCTGATTTACAAGCCCTTGAATCAGATCACCCTGAGTCTGTACTGTCTGAGGTACCAGCCCTTCTCGCTCTTGTCTTGGGGGCGGTACTCTACTGGGAGTCTCGGTTTTCTCTTGAACAACTCTCCCCTAACTCTCCGCTAAAACCTATTGTACAATAGTTCGAATCCTCATCTCATCAAGGGTAGGGGGAGTTGGTTCTGGTGGGTCAGAGGATTCTCCCTCATTCATCACACTCTTACCCTTTCTCCTGTTACTACACCTCATCTACAAAACAACTATACTTGATCAATTCAGAAGAACACTTAAAGTAAGAAAAGAATTAACTTACACAGTCAGCTATCGGACATCGTGGCGAGGATAATGGCACACTGTCAAATCCAAAAAATCTCGACTCTGATACAAAAAATGTAATAGCCATTTTCTACTCAAATACTCATATGATTTATATAAGAAAATACATATAAAATAGCATAAGAAAATTGGGCCCAAAAGTTTCTTTTTATTAAACATACATATATATGCTTTACAACCATATATATATTTTACACAAAATTATAATATGTACAAAAGTCGTCAAAGACATGGTGGACAGTGTAATCACTTCCCCTCGCGTGTCGACATCCATCCGACCGCGTCCTCACCTGGATCCTGCAAACATAGGAAATAACAGGGTGAGCACTAAAACAATGCCCAGTAAGTAAATCCTCTACCCGTCTAACCCCGTAACTCTCACTCTAATTCTTTCCTTACAACCTCTCATTCAATTCCTCTTTGGTACTTCTCTCTCTCTCTTTCTCTTTCTTAGAACTCTTTTCTATTAACTCTAAGTCACGGCCCCATCTTACCGAAGGCACGGCCGGGACTCACTCCCGCTCTACTTGACCTCTACTGGTTCTAGCCGATCGGACTCGGTTATGTATAGATTCGGAACCCTTGGCCATGTGAGTGTATAATCTCTCTCTCGGGTACTCGGGTATAGCCCTCATCCGCATGCACTCTCATGGCCTACACCACTTCTCATTCTTATACTCATGCCGCTCTCTCAATGCGGTGTACATGCGGGAATACTCTACCCATTACTCATGGNGGTGGAATGAAGGAAATAAGGGTTACAAACCCTTATCATCTTATTTTATAAATATGCTTTCCCATTTTGCCCTTACACTTTTTAAAAAAATCCATCCTTGTCCATTAATCAATTACCATAATGCCCTCATTTTTATTGTATTCTTTATGAAATTCTATCTCTTTTCACTCCGCACAATTTTAACTAATTTTGAATGAAAAGACTATTTTACCCTTAATACAAGTTTAAGGCATTTTCTTCATATTCTCTTAAAATAATTCTAACAAAAATTAACTAAGGGTTGTAAAACATAATTTAAATCATGTACCTGCATGTTGGACGTTACATCTGTAGAATTACACTACACTCCTCCATGAGCATCACTGTTTCCTCATCTTCTAACTTCCTTTTGTTTGATAAAATCTCCTTAAGAAATTTCGCATAGCTCGGCATATGTTGCAATGCATCTGCAAAAGGAATGTTAATATGCAGTTTTTTAAATATTTCAATAAATTTAGAAAACTGCTTATCCTGATTCTTTTTCTTGAGTCTCTAAGGAAAAGGCACGAGAGGGGTGTGTAACGACTCCATTCTTTTAAAAACATGCATAGTAAAAGTACATGTAAAAATAACAAAAGTTGGGCCCAGAATTTTCTTTTATCAAACATATGTATTCTTTATACAAATATATACAGGATTTGTAACATATGTGAAAACTATCAAAATAGGGTGGACAGTGTAGCCATTTCTCTTCGTGTGCCGATGTCCATCCGACTGTGTCCTCATCTAGAACCTAAAAAACATAGGGAACAACTGGATGAGCACAAAACAATGCTCAGTAAGTAAACCCATCTACTCAATTATCCCCGTAACTCTCCCTCTAATTCTTTCCCTACCATTTATTGACTCTTCTCTTATGCAACTCTCTATTTCCTCTTTCACATAACTCTTTTATACTAACTCTCTTTCTAGTAAGTCACGGCCCCATCTGACCGGAGGCAAGGCTGGGACTCGCTCCCACTCCCTATGACTTCTACTCATTCTAGCCGATCGGACTTGGTTTTGCATGGATTCGGAACCTTTGGCCATGTGAGTGCATAGAATCTCTCGGGTAAACTCGGGTATAGCCCTCATCCGCATGTACTCTACGGGCTACACCACTTCTCTTTCTGATACTCTTGCCGCTCTCTCTATGTGGCGTACATGCGGGAATACTCTACCCGTACTCACAGGTTCCCCATCGCACAACCTACTTGATAATCCGTAAATTATACAGTNATAGTTCAATGGTCCAAGGATTTCATGTATTTGTCTATTTTCATTTTATTTATTTTTAAAGTAAAAACTTGGTTGAAAAAGAATCATCAATGTTTAATATTCTATCAGCTGGGAAACATAGGGACAAAATGGTGCTGTCAAATGATGTGCAGATGAATCTTCCAAGCTCCCCAATCCAGCAGCTGAAGACTATGTGGAAATTGTTGTTTCTGATGCCTGAGAATACTAAGAAAAGAAAGTGAACAACTAAGAATGGAGAGAAGTTTTGTTCTGCATTACCAACTGAGTTTTACACCTTAACTAATAAAGCAAAATATCCACTGTTAACAACCACTTTGCAAGGATTTTATGCTAACATTAATCTAAAGCCATACATTAAGACCAACCTACAACAAACATTATGGACAAATCCCATATAACCTGGCAGTATACACCTAAACCATTACAAAATAAATCAAATAAGGCTGCCTTACAAAACAATCAGACGGCAGATTGCAACACACACTTTGGCGCCAGAACAAATTCAAAAAAAGGCTTAACAAACTTCAACATTTCCAGCTAAATATCAAAATTTAACACTCCTCCTTGATAGTTGGCTGGAAACACAAAGTATGAATCTAAATTCTTCAAACTTGACTTTGGAAACAGCTTTAGTCATAATGTTAGCCATTTGTAATTCACCCCTGTAGTGCATCAGTTCCACTTCACCATTTTACTCAGCCTCTCTCACTGCATGAAACTTAATTTTTATGTGCTTTGTACGTCCATGATGCACTGGATTTTTGGCCATTGCTACAGCAAATTGGTTGTCACACATGATGGCAATAGGCTTGACCTGCTTCAGCTTCAAATCTTCAAGAATCTTTCTCAGCCAAATGGCTTGATTCATAGCAATAGCAGCTGAAAAATACTCTGCTTCTGCTGTGGATTGAGCTACGGTTTCTTGTTTTTTGGAAAGCCAGTAAATTGCACCACAATTTAGAAAAAATGCATACCCTAAAGTGCTCCTCATGTCATCTGTTGAACCAACCCAGTCATTGTCAGAAAAACCAACCAATTTGAAGTCTTTTGATCTCTTGAACCATACCCCAAAGTCAGTGCTGCCCTTTACATATCTCAGCACCCTTTTTGCAATCTTGAAATGAGTCTCAGTTGGTTGACTCATAAATCTGGACAGCAAACTTGTGGCATACATTATGTCTGGTCTGGTTGCTGTCAAGTACAATAGGCAACCAATCAAGCTCCTATAAAATCCTTCATCAACTTTCTTAGCCTCATCACTATTTGATAACTTCATAGTTGGAACAAATGGTAGGTCCATTGGTTTGCAATTTTCCATGCAAAACTTCTTAAGGACTTCACTTGCATACTTCCTTTGATTCATAAAAATACCATCTGCATCTTAATCGATCTCCATCCCAAGAAAGTATGACATTTTCCTTAAGTCTGTCATTTCAAACTCACTGTGCATGGATTTTTTGAATTCCTCCACTTGATCATGCGTGCTTCCAATCACTAGAAGATCATCCACATACAGAGAAATGATCATCACATCATTTTCGACTTCTCTAATGTATAGAGTGTGCTCATTAGGACTCCTCACAAAGTCTAAACTGAGCAGGTGGTCATTAATCCTGCTATACCAAGCCCTTGGTGCCTGTTTTAGGCCATATAAGGCCTTCTTCAGCAGGTAGACTTTTCCCTCTTCTCCTTGAATCTGATACCCTTCTGGTTGATTAATATAAATCTCCTCATTCAACTAGCCATTCAAGAAAGCAGATTTAACATCCAATTGATGAATTTTCCAGGAAAATTGAGCTACCACAGCAAGCAGCAATCTGATGGTACCATTCCGGGCAACTGGTGCAAATGTCTCCAGGAAATCTACTCCATATTGCTGAGCAAATCCTTTAACAACTAGCCTGGCCTTATGCTTAAGAACTGAACCATCCAGATTTAGCTTTTTTCTTGAAAATCCATTTGACTTGGATCACTTTCCTATTTTCTAGTCTGTCGACAAGCTTCCTGGTCTGATTCTTTTCAATCATGGTAAGCTTCTCCTTCATGGCAACCCTCTAGGCTTCTGACTTTACTGCTTCTGAGTAGCTTGAAGATTCCATTTGTACCACATTTCATCTGTAATACACATCAGCTAGAGATCTTGTTCCTCTGACAAAAATTTCTTCATTTGATTCATCCCCTGGATCTTCTTCAACCTGATCAGCTAGAGCTTCACTCAATTGGGGTCTTGTTTCTACATCAACCTTACCTTCCTCCCAATTCCAGACTCCACTCTCATCAACTGTAACATCCCTAGAAACAAGGATTTTCTTTGAGTCAGGAATGTATATTCTATAAGCTTTAGATTGGCTGCTATAGCCAATAAAAATTCTTGTCAAAGCTTTATCTTCTAGCTTTGATCTTTTTGCAGTTGGTACCAGAACATAGCATACACTTTTGAAAACTTTCAGATTATCCATTATTGGCTTGACTCCAATCCAAGCTTCAAATGGTGTTTGACTAATCAAGGCTCTTATAGGAATCTGTTGCACAATTACACCCCTGTATTGACAGCCTCTGCCTAGAAGAATTTCAGAAGTTTTTTTCCAGCCATCATACATCTTGCCATCTCGATAACAGTCATGTTTTTCCTTTCAATAAATCCATTCTGCTGTGGAGTATAAGCGCTGCTGAATTGATGTCTGATTCCAACCTTCTTGGAAATCATTTCAAACTCTTGAGAAGTGTATTCAACACCATTGTCACTTCTCAAGGTTTTCATAGTCTTTCATGTTTGGTTTTCCACCAGCTGCTTGAATTTCTTGAATACTCCAGCCACCTCACTTTTCTGCCTTAGAAAATAAACCCAGCACATTCGGGACCAATCATCTATGAACAATAAAAAATATCTACGTCCACTTAAGGATAAGGTTTGCATAAAGCCACACACATCCGAGTGAACAAGCTGAAGTTTTTCAAAAGCTCTCCAAGCTTGATTCACTGGAAAAGGTTTTCTACTCATCTTGCCTAACTGACATGCTTGGTAAACTCCTTTTGGTTCTTCAACAATGGGCAGATTCTGAACTAAGTTTTTGGACTAAATCTCTCTTAGATTTCTATAATGTACATGGCCTAATACCTTATGCCATATCTTAGTTTCATCTTCTCTAGCATTACATGCTTTGTGCAGAGTATTTTTTCATATGATTGGAAAGCTCTTTCATACCATTCTTACTCTCATAATCTCACTTCCGTCACTGTCCAGGATTATGCATGATTGATTTTGAAAATGCAATGCATAATCCTTTTCCAACATCTGTCCCACACTAAGGAGACTCTGATTGATATCAGGTGCATAAAGTACATTAGAGATTAGCTTCATACATGTTGGTGTCTGGACATCAACATCTCCTTTCCCTTTTGCTTCCACATACTCTCCATTTCCCACTTTGATCCTTCACCGATGTGAGTGATCCAGGTTCACAAAACTCTGCAGATCTTGTGTCATGTGATGTGTACATCCACTACCAATCAACCAGGTTTATCACATGCTTGGATCAAACTGGATGAGGCCACAAATAACTGCTCTGTCTCCTATCCTTGATGTTGTTCATCAGCCGTTTGAGCTTGGTTTTGGGACTGCTCTCCCTTGTTTTTGCAAACTCTTTCGATGTGGCCAAATTGTTTGCAGCCCTACACTGTATTCCTAGCCTAAACCAACATCTATTCTCTGCATGTCCCTTCTTCTTACAGTGAGAACAAGCTAGAAAATTCTTCATTCCACCAACTTTGTTCCACTGAGCAGTGGACCTTCCTTTTCCCTTCTTATCTCTAGCAAACCTTTTGTTATTTCCTTGTACAGACTTGCCCTTGTGAGCTGCTAACATTGCTCCCTCACTCACATCCTCTAGCCTCAGGAACCTTCTCTGCTCTTGTGCCTATAGAGCATGGACCAGCTTAGTCAAAGTGATATGAGTCAGGTATTTTGAGTCCTCCAAAGAAGAGATTTTTGCTTCAAACTTTTCAGGTAGGCTTACGTTTTCATTTTATTTATTTTTAAAGTAAAAACTTGGTTGAAAAAGAATCATCAATGTTTAATATTCTATCAGCTGGGAAACATAGGGACAAAATGGTGCTGTCAAATGATGTGCAGATGAATCTTCCAAGCTCCCCAATCCAGCAGCTGAAGACTATGTGGAAATTGTTGTTTCTGATGCCGGAGAATACTAAGAAAAGAAAGTGAACAACTAAGAATGGAGAGAAGTTTTTTTCTGCATTACCAACTGAGTTTTACACCTTAACTAATAAAGCAAAATATCCACTGTTAACAACCACTTTGCAGGGATTTTATGCTAACATTAATCTAAAGCCATACATTAAGACCAACCTACAACAAACATTATGGACAAATCCCATGTAACCTGGCAGTATGCACCTAAACCATTACAAAATAAATCAAATAAGGCTGCCTCACAAAACAATCAGACGGCAGATTGCAACACACACTTTGGCGCCAGAACAAATTCAGAAAAAGGCTTAACAAACTTCAACATTTCCAGCTAAATATCAGAATTTAACACTCCTCCTTGATAGTTGGCTGGAAACACAAAGTCTGAATCTAAATTCTTCAAACTTGACTTTGGAAACAGCTTTAGTCATAATGTCAGCCACTTGTAATTCACCCCTGCAGTGCATCAGTTCCACTTCACCATTTTGCTCAGCCTCTCTCACTACATGAAACTTAATTTTTATGTGCTTTGTACATCCATGATGCACTAGATTTTTGGCCATTGCTATAGCAAATTGGTTGTCACACATGATGGCAGTAGGCTTGACCTGCTTCAGCTTCAAATCTTCAAGAATCTTTCTCAGCCAAATGGCTTGATTCATAGCAATAGCAGCTAAAAAATACTCTGCTTCTGCAGTGGATTGAGCTACAGTTTCTTGTTTTTTGGAAAGCCAGTAAATTGCACCACAATTTAGGAAAAATGCATACCCTAAAGTGCTCCTCATGTAATCTGTTGAACCAACCCAGTCACTGTCAGAAAAACCTACCAATTTGAAGTCTTCTGATCTCTTGAACCATACCCCAAAGTCAGTGCTGCCCTTTACATATCTCAGCACCCTTTTTGCAGTCTTGAAATGAGTCTCAGTTGGTTGACTCATAAATCTGGACAGCAAACTTGTGGCATACATTATGTCTGGTCTGGTTGCTGTCAAGTACAATAGGCAACCAATCAAGCTCCTATAAAATCCTTCATCAACTTTCTCAGCCTCATCACTCTTTGATAATTTCATAGTTGGAACCAATGGTAGGTCCATTGGTTTACAATTCTCCATGCAAAACTTCTTAAGGACTTCACTTGCATACTTCCTTTGATTCACAAAAATACCATCTGCATCTTAATCGATCTCCATCTGAAGAAAGTATGACATTTCCCCTAAGTCTGTCATTTCAAAATCACTGTGCATGGATTTTTTGAATTCCTCCACTTGATCATGCGTGCTTCCAATCACTAGAAGATCATCCACATACAGAGAAATGATTATCACATCATCTTCGACTTCTCTAATGTATAGAGTGTGCTCATTAGGACTCCTCACAAAGTCTAAACTGAGCAGGTGGTCATTAATCCTGCTATACCAAGCCCTTAGTGCCTGTTTTAGGCCATATAAGGCCTTCTTCAGCAGGTAGACTTTTCCCTCTTCTCCTTGAATCTGATACCCTTCTGGTTGATCAATATAAATCTCCTCATTCAACTAGCCATTCAAGAAAGCAGATTTAACATCCAATTTATGAATTTTCCAGGAAAATTGAGCTGCCAAAGCAGGCAGCAATCTGATGGTACCATGTCGGGCAACTGGTGCAAATGTCTCCAGGAAATCTACTCCATATTGCTGAACAATTCCTTTAACAACTAGCCTGGCCTTATGCTTAAGAATTGAACCATCCAGATTTAGCTTTTTTCTTGAAAATCCATTTGACTTGGATCACTTTCCTGTTTTCTAGTCTGTCAACAAGCTTCCTGGTCTGATTCTTTTCAATCATGGCAAGCTTCTCCTTCATGGCAACCCTCTAGGCTTCTGACTTTACTGCTTCTGAGTAGCTTGAAGGTTCCATTTGTACCACATTGCATCTGTAATACACATCAGCTAGAGATCTTGTTCCTCTGACAGAAATTTCTTCATTTGATTCATCCCCTGGATCTTCTTCAACCTGATCAGCTAGAGCTTCACTCAATTGGGGTCTTGTTTCTACATCAACCTTACCTTCATCCCAATTCTAGACTCCACTCTCACCAACTGTAACATCCCTGGAAACAAGGATTTTCTTTGAGTCAGGAATGTACAGTCTATAAGCTTTAGATTTGCTGCTATAGCCAATAAAAATTCTTGTCAAAGCTTTATCTTCTAGCTTTGATCTTTTTGCAGTTGGTACCAGAACATAGCATACACTTTTGAAAACTTTCAAATTATCCACTACTGGCTTGACTCCAATCCAAGCTTCAAATGGTGTTTGACTAATCAAGGCTCTTGTAGGAAGTCTGTTGCGCAAGTACACCCCTGTATTGACAGCCTCTGCCTAGAAGAATTTCGGAAGTTTTTTTCTAGCCATCATACATCTTGCCATCTCGATAACAATCATGTTTTTCCTTTCAATAACTCCATTCTGCTATGGAGTATAAGGGCTGCTGAATTGATGTCTGATTCCAGCCTTCTTGCAAATCATTTCAAACTCTTGAGAAGTGTATTCAACACCATTGTCACTTCTTAAGGTTTTCATAGTCTTTCCTGTTTGGTTTTCCACCAGCTGCTTGAATTTCTTGAATACTCTAGCCACTTCACTTTTCTGCCTTAGAAAATAAACCCAGCATAATCGGGACCAATCATCTATGAACAATACAAAATATCTACTTCCACTTAGGGATAAGGTTTGCATAAAGCCACACACATCAGAGTGAACAAGTTGAAGTTTTTCAAAAGCTCTCCAAGCTTGATTCACTAGAAAAGGTTTTCTACTCATCTTGCCTAACTGACATGCTTGGCAAACTCCTTTTGGTTCTTCAACAATGGGCAGATTCTGAACTAAGTTTTTGGACTAAATCTCTCTTAGATTTCTATAATGTACATGGCCTAATACCTTATGCCATATCTCAGTTTCATCTTCTCTAGCATTACATGCTTTGTGTGGAGTATTTTTTCATATGATTGGAAAGCTCTTTCGTACCATTCTTACTCTCATAATCTCACTTCCCTCACTATCCAGGATTATGCATGATTGATTTTGAAAATGCAATGCATAATCCTTTTCCAGCATTTGTCCCACACTAAGGAGACTCTGATTGATATCAGGTGCATAAAGTACATTAGAGATTAGCTTCATACCTGTTGGTGTCTGGACATCAACATCTCCTTTCCCTTTTGCTTCCACATACTCTCCATTTCCCACTTTGATCCTTGACCGATGTGAGTGATCCAGGTTCACAAAACTCTACAGATCTGGTGTCATGTGATGTGTACATCCACGACCAATCAACCAGGTTTCATCACATGCTTGGATCAAACTGGATAAGGCCACAAATAACTGCTCTGTCTCCTGTCCTGGATGTTGTTCATCAGCCGTTTGAGCTTGGTTTTGGGACTGCTCTCCCTTGTTTTTGCAAACTCTTTCGATGTGGCCAAATTGTTTGCAGCCCTACACTGTATTCATGGCCTAAACCAACATCTATTCTCCGCATGTCCCTTCTTCTTACAGTGAGAACAAGCTGGAAAATTCTTCATTCCACCAACTTTGTTCCACTGAGCAGTGGACCTTTCTTTTCCCTTCTTATCTCCAGCAAACCTTTTGTTGTTTTCTTGTACAGACTTGCCCTTGTGAGCTGCTAACATTGCTCCCTCACTCACATCCTCTAGCCTCAGGAGCCGTAAAGCATGGACCAGCTTAGTCAAAATGATATGAGTCAGGTATTTTGAGTCCTCCAAAGAAGAGATTTTTGCTTCAAACTTTTCAGGTAGGCTTACTGTCACCTTCTCCGCTATTCTTTTATCTGTCATCTCCACTCCAAGCAACCTGATTTTTTTGCTATAGTCCAACTGTCAACAATTCTTTCACTTTCTCACCTCCTACATTCTCAATGTCTCAAATTTAGCAGCTGCATGTTTCTTGTAGTGTCACTCCCCTGAGCTCTCTCTTAACTTGTCCCATGATTCCTTTATTGTTTCGCATGCACATGCCTTGTAAAAACATGGTCTGTGACAGCTGAATGAAGGTGGGACAAGCTCCTAGAGCCTTTGAAACTTCTCTTCATGCAGTCGGATTTGGTTGAGTGGATGATTGGTCCCAACTGAGGGGTTGTTTCCCTCCTCTACATACTGCCAGAGTCCTTAACCTCGTTGATATGCCTTCATTTTGATAGCCCATATGGTAATGCTCACCATAAAGACAGGAGGTAAAAGAGAACTATCGAGTGGCCATTGATTCAAGAAAAAAAAAGGTCTGATGCCAAACAGTTTTTCCAGAAAAATAGATAAGTTGATCAAGAGGAAGAAAAGTTTCAGATTTTTCAGCTCAAGTAACCAGCTCTGATACCATTTTGTTGTTTCTAAGGCTGAAGAATACTAAAAAAGAAAGTGAATAACTAAGATGGAAAGAAGATTTTTTCTGCATTACCAACTAGTTTTACACCTAATAATAAAGCAAAATATCCACTGTTAACAACCACTTTGCAGGGATATTTTATGCAACTTAATCTAAAGCCATACATTAAGACCAACCTACAACAAACATTAGGACAAATCCCTATAACCTGGCAGTACACCTAAACCATACAAATAAATCAAATAAGGCTGCCTCACAAACAACTCAGACGGCAGATTGCAACACACACTTTAGTGCCAGAACAGATTCAAAAAAAGGCTTACAAACTACTACATTCCAGCTAAATATCTGAATTTAATAGAAATTTCATGGACTCCTATTCTTTCAACAATTATAAAAATCACTCTAAGATTATAAACCTGGAAATCCATCTACCATTCTTACATGCCTTTTACCAATCAACTCAACCCTTAGGTTACTTCAACATCTACTATGTAAACAGAAACCATGAAAACCATCCTGATAATGGAATGGAGTAGTAACAATCAACGTGTTCACATCTTGATATAGACAAGCGCATAAAATTATGATCAAGATGTCAAAATTTTAATTTAATAAACACATTAATTTTGGTCTTACACTTTATTATTAATTGTAGTTCTATAAACTGTGGTAAGCAGTTATTGAACTGATTAAATTTTAAACCCTTTGACAGTTGCCTTTGATGGAAGATTTTGCTTAAAAGAGACGTTATAGGTCTCCAATCATGCAATTTATTATCTGACATTCCCAAAGCACTGAAAATTACATTTGAATTGAAAGAATCCGTAAACTCTAAAAAGACAAAATCCTGAAGACTACAAGCAACTACAACAAATGTTATGGCGGGAGGTTACTATTAACTTACTTCCTCTGTGTTCTATAAATAAACAAGTATATGACTTATATGTTATGGTTGTATCGATGATATGAATGAAATATTGAGTATTGTATAGTGTGATTATATGCTTGTTGATCTGTGATCGTATTGGAGTTTTTGAATGAAAATTTGGGTATATTGCATGAAATTCATAATATATTTATTAAAACCCAACTGTAAATTTTGCATAACTTTCTATATAAACAATTTATTTTTGCTTTCGTATCATTGGAACCTTGTTGAAACACTTTATAACAATATATTATTTGCCAAAATGAAGTTCGGATTGCAAAGTTGTTGATTTAACATTTTGGGAGAAATCGTTGTTTGAGTAATTTCGGCCACCGCTTACGGCATCAATTTGGGAAGCATCAGTGTCTGGGCTACCGCCAACATAGACATTTAATCCACTCCCATTTCTTCTCATTAGACGCCGAAAATTTGGCTGAAATCAGGCTTTGAAATTGTGTAAAAACTGGGTTTGAATTCGTAGAAACCGAGTCAACACGACTCGGTCAATGGGTCAAATTGAATTATTTTGACCGCAGCACGTGAGGGCCTGTGGCGGCACGTGAGAGGGTTATGAAGGCGCATGAGGGCCCCTAACAACCCATTAAGGTTTTCATGGAGCGCTTGCGTCTTTTATGCTAAATAGGAACATTCTGTTTTAATTTGGTTTATGTGCAATAATATATGTTTGAATTATATGATGTCATATGATCATATATGTTTGAATAATTGAGAGTAGCCCAACATCTTAGTTATGATAATTATGCATTAAGTGATATTTATGATCATATTGTTAATGACATCATTTTCTAGTTAATCATATTATATATCATTTTACCCACAAGGAATGTTATATTTCTGTGTTAGAAACTATTTGTATTTCTTAATTAGCCCATATTATGAAATGCATTGCTTGGCTCGTGTTTCAAATTTATGAGCAGGATAACAATTGTGGCATGACACAAGCAAACAAACTCTCAAGTGTCAAGAGATGGAGGGCGATGGTAAAGCAATTCAAAAGTAGATTTATTGGATAGTAATGGTGGGAAGGTGGTTAATCAAATAACTACGTTAAAACACATTCACCCAAAATAGGAGGAGATTGGATTGAAAAAAAAGAGCACAGCAATAGTGAGGATAGGGCTGTATACAAGCCGAGCCAGGCCGAACAATACGTGCTCAAAGCTTGGTTCGTGAAAATTTAACAAGCTTTAGCTCAAGCTTTGGTTCGACAAGCTCTAAACTAGGCTCGAAGCTCGAGCTAGTTAAATTTTCTGAGCTTGAGTTCTAGCGAATGGCTTAGTTTAGAGTCTTTAATCCAAAGCAACTCACAACAATCATTCAAAACAACCTAAATCCAAAGCCAACCCACCAAAGATAACCCCAAAAGGCTAATATCACCAACCCATCATTAAATTCTTCAAAGCCACCACAAACCCCAACACCACACAGTTATCTCCCAAATTAGCCCCAATTCACCACATCCCAAAAAAAAAAAAAAAAAAAAAAAAAAAAAAAAAAAATTCCCAAATCAACATTTACTATCTTTGATAGGCACCAAGAATGAGACAACTGCAATACATCGCTGAAAATTCCATTGGTTGTGAGAGGGAAAGCAGATTAAAGAGGAGAGAAAAGAAAGGAAGAGAGAGAAGGAAAGAGATGGAAGAGAGAATGAGAAGAAGAAGAAAGGTGAAAAAGAAGGAAAAAGAAAAGAAAGAAGGAGAATGTGTCAGCTGGCTGCTGGAAAGAAGTTAGGGTTTAGGAATTGGAAATTTATATAGGAGATGATAAATTCATTAACCCTTAATACTTGGAAAATCACTTAACCAGTTTGAGCCGTTTGCAAGCTTCTTAGCTGAGTAGTGGGTGGCTTGGCTTGGGCTGGCGGCTCGAGAGATACTTAGTCACGGCTACTTGCGAGCGGCTAGGTTCGTTTGTAGCCTAGGTAGGATATGACGTTGCTTGCGTTCAACTACCCCATTTTGTTGTGAAGTGTAAACACAAGTTTGTTGGTGTTCTACCCAAGTGTTTGAAAATAATCTTTCATCAAAAAAAATTCAAAACCATTACTACCTAGATAGCTTTAACAGATGCATGAAATTGGTTTTTGCAAAGGTAATGACAAATTGAGATGTTTTTGAGTTTCTGGCTTATGCTGCTTATAATAGACCCATGTGCATCTACTAAAATCATCAACAATTGTTAAAGAAAAAAGAAAAAAAAAAAAAAAAAAAAAAAAAAAAGCATGCTTCCGAATGAGTTAGAACTTTATGAGGACCCCGAATATCAAATGCAATAATTCAATTGGAGACTGAGTTGTTACAAGCTTGAAGGAAATGGCAATCAAGTTTTTTTGGCCATAGGATAACGGCGCAATTGTATCAAAGGAAATTTATTCAGAGAATAAAGAAGCTACTTAGGCAATGGAGATGGATGACGAAGGTGCATGTACCACAAGTTTGGGTTGAGAGACTTTGTGAGAGGTATGTTTTTGTTAGCGAAGACAATTAATAAAGACCACCTCGTTTTTTAACCGAGAAATCATCCTCCCCGAAGCCAATCCTGCAAGACACAAAAATTAGGTAAAAAATAGCACAACAATAGGGCATTGTAAGTTTACAATTACGGATGTTGAGTATAGGTTTAGCTACTGATTGGCATGATGAGGTGACTGCTAATTTGGTCAAGGATTGCTGCATAATGGTTGGTTACTGATTTGGTGTTGAAATTTTTTGTACGTGTGTGTTTACAGATTTAATCTTTGAAGTATGTTGGTCATGTGTTTTGTTTTTGAGGATGTTATTTTAGTAGTGGATAAGTGTTACTGGAGTCATGTACAGGTTTTTTAGCAAATTTTTTAAGTATTTATTTACAAATCTTGTATATATTGCTGCTGATTCATAAGAGAGAGGTGAGTTGCAATCTCTATTAAGTCTTTTTTGCATTATATTGTTCAAATTTTGTTCTTGCACAAAAAAACTACAAATTGGTATCATAGCTCTTTTTTCTTAACGATTTATGTGATGTCTGTGAGTTAGTGTATTTGCAAACACCAAACCACAAAACAGAAACTCTGTTTTAATGGCTTCCAATCATTCTCTCTGGTTCTCCACAGTTATCACAGTGAACCTATACACTATCATACCTGGCCATTAAATGTCTGCTTATTTGCAAGTTGTGGACCTTTGGGAGCCAATTGAAGAAGACTATGAAATCGACCAATTACTTGACAATCCCACTGTGCAACAAATCAAGGTTTACAAGGAGAGGAGAACTAAAAAGTTCAAGGCCAAATCATGCCTCCATTCAGTAGTGTCTGAAGCATTGTTTACCAAGATCATGAACTTGGAGTCAGCTTTTGAAATCTGGCAGTATCTTAGGGAGGCTTTTTAAGGCTATGTGAGAACAAGAAGCATGCAGGTGTTAAACCTTAGAAGGGAATTCGAGCTCTAGAAGATGAAAGAGTCTAAGCTGTCAAGGAGCATGCAGACAGGCTTTTGAGCATTGTTAACTGAGTGAGGCTTC